AGAGAGAGAGAGAGAGAGAGAGAGAGAGAGAACATAGATTAAAACAAATACACTGGATTTCTCGGTGATCGCGTTTTACCGGTCTTCTCTCTGGCTCGAGCAAGGAAAATCGACTGCTGTTTCCTCTGTCTGCTCTCCCACCATGTACTTCATGCCTTGTTCTTTTTATCAGCTAATCTAAAAAAAAAAGCTATAAAATAAAATAAAAAAATAATGAAAAAAGAAAGAAGAACAAGAATTCGATTGATGATAAAGGGTGAACGAAAAATTATAGAAAAATACATGAATATTTATCGATGGATATCGACAATTGGAAGACGTCACGAGCGTCAATGGGGATGAAGCTGGCGCGCATAATCGGAAGTCGCGTTGGTGCAGCGTCGCGGCGGGGAATCAAATTTCAGCAACACCTACGGTGAACCACGGAGCTCGGAGTCGACGTTTACCTGACTCATCCCATCGTTCGATCGTCCGGCCGGTCGCGCGACCCAACATGCATTTTTCTTCTTCGAGGGCCCGGCCCAGAGCCTTGCATATCCACGGAGGAACTATATTTTACGACAATCTTTTTGCTCGGCTGCACGCGCGCCAGCGCGGCGTATACGCGATCCTTATGTGTCGTGCGAGGAGCGCGTCGTGCTTGTCAGTCGTTAGTGGGAGGGATGTCTATGCCGGAGAGGGAACGAGAAGGAGAAGTGGTTTAAGAGTCGTGGAGCGAGACGGAGATGAAACGAGAAGGAGAAGCGTAGATCTGTTGGTTCGCAGAGCGAACGAAATGGAACGATCGAAGGAGAAAGCGGGAAGCAGCTCGCGTCGAGACGAGGACGGGAGCAAATCGAAGAAGAGAGCAAAACGAAGGAGAGAAAAGGAGACAGGGAATGCGGAGAACGAGAGAGAGAGATACGAATGACTTGGTGGGAGAGGGATGGGGCAGAGTCGGGAAAGAGGACGTTGGGAAGAGGAAGAGAGGATTGAAAGAGGATGGGGAATAATGGTGGAAGAGGGACAGAAGGTATCACGAAGTGCAGAGGAGGCCTCATCTCGATCTTGGTCCTATTTATAGACGTGCTCTCACAGCCTCACTCCTGCCCACTTCTTGCACTGTCTCTCCTATATAGGTGTGCATGCACCTATGTAGTGGCCATTGCACGTTCTCCACACGCGAGAGCCAAAACTGTTCGTCCGAGCGCGAAGAATCGATGACGTGGACCCTCTCTCGCTGAGCGTCGAGACGCTGGCTGCCACCAGTTCTCTTCTCGTACAGAGAAACTTATCCACCTCGAAAGACATCATCGTCTTCCGTTAATTAGTCGATTACGGAAACGGTCGTT